TAGATACGCATTGAATGTAAGTTATTGAGGTGTTAGAAAAACAAACTTACAAACAAACCACCGAGTTTAGACATATTATTACATGTATTGTCCTATTATCAAATCATATATTGTGTTCTATTTCTAAAACGTTAACAGTTTATGGTGTACAATAAAACTATTACTATGAACCACTTTGATACATTTAGACATAAAATATCAAGTTATCTCATCAGCCAACAAATCACAAAATATCGAAAAATGAAAAATACGAGTTACTTGTTCACTCAAATCTTGCAGTCAATTGGTAATGTATGTTATATAAATAGTATATAACATATATAATGTATATTATATAAATAGTTCGCAAAGTAAATGAGCAAAAGCGTAACATTTGTATGTAGCATGCTTCATAAAACAAGTCAGCGTGCATTTTGTTCCTGGCACTGATTGGTTAATAAGTGAATACAATTCGTTGAATGCACGATGCACTCACAAGATTAGCAGCTGGGAAAGGCTATTCAACAAAAAGTACGCTTTCGTACTCATAAAAGGATTACCCTTTTACAACTTTGACAACTTTGAAGCATGAACTTAGAAATGTACTTACTGTTATTGTTACCCTGTGGATCCCAGGGTTTTGATATGTTCTGCGAAGTCATGCAAAGAAAGACCATATAGTCCATTTGTCATTTTCTGAACGTATGAATATTTAAAAGTATGATGTTTTTCTGTGTAAATACTATCATTAGGGATTATTGGAGTGATTTAGCTGGGTTGCCAAAAAAATAACTTTGGGGAAAATTTTGGTATCTATTACCATAGTAACATACCAGGTATATGGTGGTATCCCAACGCTAAGTCAATAGTCAACGCCATGTTAAGCGATTGCACCCCTCCCTAATCAGCCTATATTATTTTTTCCCCAAACAAAATTTTTCGGCAACCCAGTTAAATCACTTCAGAAAACCCTTATTATCATAAATCGACCATAAAACATCGTACTTTTAACAAATTCTAGGTTCACTATTGGATGTATAGGGGTGACAAATGGACTAATATACTAAAAGTATATGCCTGCTAGTCATATCTGTGACACTTTTGTATGATATGTATTCCACTTTGAACCACCATCTATTTCAATATTGTGAAAATATATATTTCCCAAATTATAAAATAAATGATCTTGTATTCGCGAATGCCACTAACGCCTGTCGGCTGCCGGATTAACCTACTATTTTATGGGCAATTCATTAAAATATGAATGGAATATTGGCAGGTACTTTTAATATTTAAATGAGTTGCCCATAGAAAAGTATGTTAATCCGGTAGATGAAATCTTTCATTCCCAAATCATAGTCTTAGCTTATATTTGCGAATGCAAATAACGCCTTTCGGCTACCGGATTAACCTTCTACATGTATTTCACTGGAGACCCATGTAAATACGAATAGTACCTGCCACTATTCCATTCACATTTAAATGAGTTAGTCATAGAATACTGGGTTAATCAGGTAACCGAGATGCGTTAGTTGCATTCGCGAATATAAGGTTAGAGTCCATTTCACTGTTTTATTGCGTCAGTAGAACCCCAAAAATAAGAAATCGGGAGACCATTGTGCAATAATATATGGAAAAGTAGATTCATATTGTACATGAATGACATTTGTATATTTCAGATTTTCTCGTTTTTTGTGCAATAAGACTGTGACCTCTTGTAATTTGAAGAATTTCAGCCATGTTAATCTTATTGAAAATAACATGGCAGAGAAACATCCATATATAAGAGGCCACACACTTTATAAGCCAAACTAGAAGCAATCCAAGATATACAAATGTCATTCATGTACAATAGGAACATATTTTTCCATATATTATTGCATGATGATATTGTGATTTCTTATTTTTTAGGTTTTACTGACGCAATTCAACAGTGAAATGGACTAGCTTGTATTCACGAATGCAAGAAACGCCTGTCGGCTACCGGATTAAACTACCTTTGCAATCGTCGGTATTTTAGCGCGGAGATAAATGTTCAATATGACATAAATATTTGATATGACATCGATGAATACTTTCATCATTCTGGTGGAAATGTCTACCAAACTCCCCTCCCTTGTTCCCCTTCCCCCAAGTAACTTGTTTAGCTAAGTTCACACCAACGGCGCTTTGATGGCGCTTTTAAGCGGCGTGCACAGCATAATCAACTGATGTGAATTTCTGAAAATTGTGAATTAAGCTTATATCGAAAAAGCTAAAAATCATTTGTTCATGTCACTAAAGGTTCGAAAACGTTATTACATTTTCCAGTTACTTTAGTTACCACAGTTATCCAAGGCTATTTGGGCAAATAAAATCCGTAGTTTGAGTGATCAATTCACGCTCAGCGATACTGCATGGGGGACATGAAAAGTTATTTATTTTCCAATAAATCCTGCCATCATTTGGTACATCAAAGAACCTGATTATTGGCTAGATTAATGATGTCAAAGGTTGTAGGTAGCAATATGTCCATAAAAAAGGATTAACTTATTGCTGAAATTGAAAAAGAACAACCCATGCCATCATCAATCTAGCAAATCCAAAATGACTAATGACTCTGTTTAATGGTAACTGAAAAAAGACTGGAAACTTTTATTATATATAGCAACATACTGAACATAATCGATGGTTTCATTTTGGCAATCGAGGTTTTATTACAGATTCTTATATGATAAACCAAACAACTTTTACATTTAGCAGTCGCTTATGGTAATTAGCCATACATTTCTAGGTATACGTTTTATCGCAATCGTGTCAAAATATAAATTGTATTGATAAACAGAAAAGAACACAAAAAATCATACACGGGCGCCATTTTTCTAAGGTGTTTCTAAGTGTTGTTTAATCTCTCTAGACTATCTCTCATCAACGGCTTATTGTAGATTGGTTGAACAATGAACGTGTTATTTATAGCTATAATAACCACGTTGATCGATGCTTGGGCGAATTTTAAGGTTTAAATCAGGAAGAGAGAGGTAGAAAGAGGCGTAATCTTGTGGCAAGTTCCTCACCTCCTACGCGCTGAATTGTGTTTCGATTCCCCGTCCATTCTCCACACCGATTTTTTATTTTTAACTCATTGATGTATCCCTTTAAAGGAGTACAGGCTACAGTGAAGCTGTAAAGGAAGGACGTTTGTTTATTTCCATATTTCTGAATGTAAGCTTATACTAGATTTTACATACATGTTTATTCCAAGTGTTCTACTATATATTGTATAGATTCATCAGGCAGTTTTCAGTGTATTATTAGCAGAAAATCCCCATCGACCACGTAATCACGTGGTAGGATAGAAGTGATATAAATACACCCTCTCCAGCTCACAGCAATTGACTAGCTTATATTCACCACTAGCATAGTTCATAGCAAGTGGTGACATCTAATTAATAGATGATTAATCAATTTTATATATGACTTGTAAAATGCCAAAAATCTGAAGTCGCTCTTTTGAAAGGCCCTCTATTGGATGAATGTGTATAAAATGTCAGAGAATATCTCGAAAATGGGACACGATTTAAGAATGAATTATTTTCGAATGTTTCTTAAAAACATATTGAAAGGATTTTTTCATGATATGCTCATGACATATCCCTGTACGCTTTGTTTGTCTTTTTTCTCAAATTGACCCACGGAAATATGCAATACATCAAGTTAAAAAAGTGGTACGAATCATAAAAGCGACGTTGGGTGGTTCACTAGTAATTTTTTGATGGAAAATCTAGAAATATTACCCAAATTAATTTATGACTATTCAAAAGAAGACATTCAAATCTATATTATGTAAAAAAAATCAAATTGGTCAGAAGCAGGGATAACGCTCAATTAGAGTGATGAACTTCGTTCTCCAAACCGAGAATCATCCTTTTGTAAGGTTTTGAAGCCGAATGGGACGAGCAATAAGTTTACCTTCATTTAACCCTCTAATTTAAGTCAGATTTGTAAGAAAAATTAACTGCACAATATTGTCATGGCGAAATTTACAAAACAATAACCAGTTTCGGTTTATTTTGCAAATAATATTAAAATAAGAGCTGGTTTTGGAGACTTAAAAAAATGTGACGCATCGATTTTTTACCACAAATTCCATACATATCAATTTTTACCAACGCCCAAGTGGATTTCTTGACCGTTTTTCAAAATTCAAAAACATTTTAGAAATATTGTCCTCGAGATCTTGCTACCCTGTGAATTTTGTCATGATTAGATAAAGATAAAGTGTTTTATTTTTAGGTTGACTAAACTTGACAAAAAATGTGACGCTTGTCGTTTTTGACGTTGTAAGGCTGTTTGCGCCCTATTCTGCTCATTGTTTTGTCTTGGTTTTTGACGCCATAATGTTACGCTAATTGTCCCCAGTTTCGTGCGACGTGTATGTGCAAAGAGAATGGACGATTGGACAATTTGTAATTTTTTAGAAGAGAAAACTACCTGGCGCAACTGTTACTGGATACTTTTGTTCAGAAAATAAGCGTTGAAAAATCCAAATGTCAGTTCATATGTTGAAATAACTAGATAGAAACATCCCTGGTTAACGTTGGATAACACAAACCGCGGAGTGAGTGAAAAATACTGAAAAACATATTTCTAATTTCGTGGTTCAGAGAAAACAGATTTATATTTTTAATTCGCATTGAACATAATAGAGAAATATTTAGAATATGACAAACACCTGTAGCTTTGTTTTTAAATTTTGTCAATGTGTAAACATTTTCTGGTGGTGTAAAACATTCGTGGAATTAAGTGCAATTGTAGACAAATAATCAGTTCAAATCAATACAACTACTATTTTTTAACTCACAAGCATATGTTTATGCTTATGACTCTTTGTTTCAGTTAATCTAATATTCGAAATGTATTGAATACATTAATAAATGATTATCCTTTGTAATAACAACTTTCTAGCTCTGCTCCTGGATTTAAACGACAAATATAAAGGAGACAGAAAAACAGGCCTTTAATGATCTCTTCTGATTGTTACTAGAATAGAACTACAATCCCAGGCACAAGTCCAATGAGAATTTGGATTAAATGAACGTACGTATATATAAGACCATCGAGGCTTCTGGATCATTAGTTGGAATTGTAGTCGCCGTAAGCATCCACTTTGATGGCAGACTACTGGCTGATCTCAATTCCATTAATAAAGATTCTGGGCATTATTCTACTACTATTTATACTATACTAAAAAAGACAGATTATACCAAAGGTTCTGTTCATCAATGCCAATCTGATACTTAGGACGTAATTTAGGTGATCGATTTACTTAACGCAATCAGGAGAAGATGGATAATAACAGTAACATAACTGAGATTACTGTGTCTTTTCTAGCCTCTGAAGCCGATGATGGAACAAAGGAAGACGAATCGCTAACAAATGCCAAATGGGAGCTCGCAATAAGGACCGTACTGTGCGTTCTTTCATTATTTACCAACGGCTTGGCGATTGTGGCTTTTGCGTTTATTCCACGTCCATTGGACTGTCGAAATTATTTATACTTGTTGATAAATCTCTCAATCGTGGACATTTTGGGTTCAGTTGCTTCCTTCCTCTCAAGTCTGAACTACTATCTCATCAAAGTTAATGTTTACAAGTGGATCGAGTACAAACTACAATATTTGATGTATTTCGCCGACGTTGGATTTGCTATATTTTATGGAGTATCAGCTATTTTGGTTTTATTTATGGCGATAACTCGTTACATAACAGTCTGCCATCCATTTCACACAAGATTATTGGTGGAGAAATCACGCATTTTCTTGATGATCGCATTTGCCTGGGCAGTCGCTATATTGCTAAATATTCCTTTATTGAAATACTACATCGATGGAAGTAGCGCCACCTCTGCTGCTACAATTATATCCGATTACGTAATTTCTTCATTCTTTATCTTGGTTTCCATAACAACCATAGGACTTTGCGCACGAGTGTTCGTCGAAACACGGAGACTGAAGAGACGGATGGTGATGCTATATGGGAAAGAATACAGTCGAGAAATCATTGTATCAACAGACCAAAATGCAGTGATCACAACATTACTGTTGACAATGACGATGTTGTTCTCAGCTCTCCCTTATTGGGCAACGGCTATTCTGTACTACAGGGAGGAAGATTTGCGCCCAGTGCTAGGGACCGTAGGGGAATATTTCATCAAACATCTTCCTGTTCTTAATTTCCTACTCGACCCAATAATATACTCTTGTCGCACACGTGATGTCAAGCTTGGCTATGGCATCATATTAAGCTCATTACGAAGAAATATTGCGTATACGAGAAAGAGACTCAACTCACGCAATTCATCGACAATCTCTCGAGATACTCAACATTTCCATTTGACTTTTACCGATGACGATATAGCAAGTATTGCTACGGGTGGCAATACGACAGTGCCGATGGTGAAACAAAAATCAGAAGTGGTGGCTGAACAGAACAATGTCTATCTAGCTAGCCCGAATGGAGATTTGGGCCAGCATGAAATATTGATAAACACAGATAATATGCAAGGAAGTGTGCAAATAGGGACAGCATCAAAACCTTGCGGGGAGAGGGACCTTGATTAGGCTAGACTGTCTAACGATTACAGGGGCGTAACCAGGCATGCGGAAAGACTCACAGAGAGCTTTTTACAAAGGCGTATGGTAAAAATATATACATGTTTCACCCTTGGTATACGCAGCTAACGAAAATTGACCGGTACGGGTCAAAAGCTGGACCGGTACGGGTTAACGGTTTTATTTGAATTTAAAATAGCCATAACTTGCTCAATATTGACTTCCTCGTGTCTAATTTGAAATATATGATGCCTCCCGATGCTTTTAAGTACCCCAATTTTTTACAGATTTTTAAACGGACCAAAACTCTCTAAATGCGCATTTATGCTCTTTTCTCTCGAGAACCACTGTCTCATTTTCACGATAACTTTTATTTAGTACTTCTAACATATAAGATCTATTTTTCCCCATGAAGGTATGATGTAAATGACATGCTATTTACATCTTGTGAGTTTCAATGACGCGCGTTTGATTTTATAAAAAATGCCAAACTTTGTGACAAAGAATTTCATCAGCTATTGCCCCGAACCGGTCCGTCTTCTCGCTACAAGCAGATTGCCCCGAACCGGTCCGTCTTCTCGCTGCAAGCAGGATGAAATTCTTTGTCACAAAGTTTGGCATTTTTTATAAAATCAAACGCGCGTCATTTAAACTCACAAGATGTAAATAGCATGTCATTTACATCATACCTTGATGGGGAAAAATAGATATTATATGTTAGAAGTACTAAATAAAAGTTATCGTGAAAATGAGACAGTCGTTCTCGAGAGAAAAGAGCATAAATGCGCATTTAGAGAGTTTTGGTCTGTTTAAAAATCTGTAAAAAATTGGGGTACTTAAAAGCATCGGGAGGCATCATATATTTCAAATTAGAATAAACCGTTAACCCGTACCGGTCCAGCTTTTGACCCGTACCGGTCAATTTTCGTTAGCTGCGTATACCAAGGGTGTTTTTACCATGTAAAAAGCTCTCTGTGGAAAGACTCGCCAAGATTTCTCGCTATGATCATTGAAACATTCATAGAAAATAGAAAATTAGTACGTACGATGCTATTTTTCCTATTTCGGTTTAAAATTGGCTTGTTTTTCAGTCCTGGTTACACCCGTAATGAACATTTGTCAAGATTTTTAAGTATATGATAGAAACAATGACTTTTAGAAATTGTTATTAGTGAGCAGCGATTACACCCTGTCTAACAGATATTCTGGGCTTTTATTCACCCGCAGTTGGTGCAAGTAGAAAACGCTCGGTATCATTTTTGAACTTGATATCTTAGTACCCCGGACAGTCTGAGATCGTCTAGCTCCACAACTATTTACTTTGACGGATATGAGTTTTTGTTTTCTCGATTTCTACTTACGTATAAGTCATGTTGCGAATTATCATTTGGCGCAAAGTTAGACAATATAGTCTAGCTTTTAGAAATGCTCTCGGTTTGGAATTTGATTTTAAAATAAAGCTTTGTTTCATGCATTTCGACCATCGCTTTTGTTACTTTGACTTATGTCATCAAAGTAACATACATTGGTAATATAACGGACTTTCGTCAATGTAACAAAAGCGAGGGGCTAAATATATGAATTGCAACATCATTTACAAAACAAATTCCAAATCGAAAAACTTATTAAAACTAGAATCTATTTTCTAGCTTTGTGCCAAATTATAATCTGCAACTTGACTCATAAGTAGGTTTAAATCGAGAAAAAAAACTCGTAACCAGGAGGTATATTCATTTTGTTACATTGACGTTCCGTCAAAGTAACTAGTTGTGGAGCATTGAATATATCAATTACCAAAATTCCAATCATTAATACGCATTACATTAATTAAAAGGGAAGTAGTGCACTCTCCATTATGATTTCCCCATGAAGAAAAATTAATTCATCTGATTTAAATCATGATAGCTATATTTTTTGCTAAATCGTTCATAAGCAGTCTTTAGTACGTCCTTGATCAGTTTAAATCCGTTTGCAATTGTCTTCAGACAATTCAACTCGTTCTAAAAACGTCCAACTAGGATTGAAGTACGAAAGCTCCGTTCGTAGTACGTCCAGTTCATCTTAAGTACGTTGTCGCTCGTTCTAATTGCAGAACGTGACGATCATTGGAACATTTTGAGCATGCTCTTAGTTCTGGAGGACCTTTCCATTCGAGTACATTCATGTAGTTTATAAATAGACCCCAAACTGTTTTAAGTAAGTTCAATCCGTTCGTACACAGTTTAAGCCCGTTTTCGAGAACGTAGTGAGAACTAGTTTGGTGTGGTAGTACGGCTACCCGTAGGGTTATCAACGAATCCGTAATTTTATAAATAGCTGCGAAGGATAAACATATTTGAAAGGTTATCACGCATACAACATTTATTCCTCATAAAATTGGTTGTCATGTTTTTTCCCAGAAACGCAAGATACAGACTTCATGTTTACTTTAAGAAATGCTTTGGTCTTTTAAGCTTACTGTCAGATGTAGATATTAAAGAGGGACGCCATTCCCTTGTTCAATATCATATAACATTTCTGCATCTTGGGAGTTCAAATACCAATTTGCTCAAGTTCTAAATATATATACAGGTAGTACTCAGGGACCCAAGTTCTGAGAAACAGCTAGAAAGTGAAAATGGATATTGGAAAGTATTACGCGAGATTTTTTCAGTTCTTGTTGGAAAATAAGTTACTTTTATGATGTTGGGTGATATCTAGAGTTTGAGACTTGCGAAAATAAGATATCTTCATCTTTATACCCCCCGCCCTATAAGTTTAGGGGGGTCAGAAGAAAATAGACTTTAATTCATAACTTTGGAAGTATATGAGATACAAACTTAATTTTTTCACCAAAATTTATGAAATAACATCAGTAATGAAGAAAAAAATATTTTGAATGAAAAAAAGCTAATTTGCATAATTTAACCCTTAAACTGCCATAAAAACTAGTAAATGACGAAATGATGTTATATCACATTTACTGTTATTGCCTTCATATGAAGTTATAACTTATGAAATAATTCCTAAAAATGCATCTATATATGTATTATAAATGTGCAAAATATTAGAAGTGTATCTTACATAAAGACTGTGAAAAAAATTCTCCCCCTATCCAGATTTTTGAGGGGAGGGGGTCAAATAAAAATGGACTTTAATTCATAATTTTAAAAGTATATGAGGTACAAACTTAATTTTTTCACCAAAGTTTATGTAATAACATCAGTAATTCAGAAAAATATTTTTGATACGCAAATAAGCTAATTTGCCTAATTTAACCCTTATACAGTCATAAAAACTGTTAAATGACGATGCGATAAAATACGACATTTACTCTAATTGACCTCTCATGAAGTTTTAACAAATAAAGTAATTCCTAAAAATGCATCTATATATGTATAACAGATTTGCAAAATATTAAAAGTGTATCTTACATAACGAAAAGCTGAAAAAAATTGTCCCCCTACCCAGATATTTGAGGGGGGTCAAATGGAAATGGACTTTAATTCATAACTTTGGAAGTATATGAGGTACAAACTTAATTCTTTCACCAAAATTTATGTTATAACGTCAGTAATTCGGAAGAAGTATCTTGATATGAAAATAAGCTAATTTGCATAATTTAACCCTTATACAGTCATAAAAAACGTTAAATGACAAAGTGATGAAATACGAAATTTACTTTAATCGACTTCTATGAAGTTATAGCTTGTGAAATAATTCCTAGAAATACATTTACAACGGGTATGCACAATATAAAAAGGGTATTGTATATAATGAGTCATAAAAAACGTTAAATGACAAAGTGATGAAATACGAAATTTACTTTAATCGACTTCTATGAAGTTATAACTTGTGAAATAATTCCTAGAAATACATTTACAACGGGTATGCACAATATAAAAAGGGTATTGTATATAATGAGTCATAAAAAACGTTAAATGACAAAGTGATGAAATACGAAATTTACTTTAATCGACTTCTATGAAGTTATAACTTGTGAAATAAAAGGGTATTGTATATAATGAGAGTGAAAAAATCTCACACCCTACCCTAATATTTTAGGGTTGGGGGAAGTTAAAAGAAAATAATGAACTTTGATTCATAACTTTGAAATCGTATAAGAAAGAGCTTATACATGTATTTCTTCGCCAGAATATTGAGAAATCACATCAAGAATGAAACAAATATTACATGGAAACAATATTATACTAGTAGTAGTAGTAAATTTATTAATTAAAGTCTAACACACTAAAGATGTTACATTAAGATACGTACATGAATTAAAACAATTCCTGGTTGATGCCGACCTATTAGAGACCATTGCATGTAACTATTTCACGCCTTTTGACTAACATATTTATCATACATTTTCCAAGTGTCCTTTGAACAGTTTTTTTCATTCATTATTATACAATATTTTCCTAGACTTGTATACATGTAAAAGTCACTATGGATATCAGTCATTTAGGCAAACAGACTTAATCGTACATTTACAAACATGACATTCTACTTTAAAGTGAGTTTCTGTCTCCATTGACTGTCCACATGGGCACGATCTCTGGTCTAGGGGAGTTGCGTTATTTTTGTTTATATTTCAATATAAAAACAAACTATCATTGGATGTATTACACTTGTTTGCAGCATCCAAAATGATATTAGAGCATTACCACTAACTATGGATGCATTTTTGGTTTATAACAATTATACATTTCAATGAATGCTGACAAACCACTTTTTGAGATTCCAGAGCCAGGGAATGGATTTGGATGTCAAGTGGTTCATATTACTCTTGAGACCATTAAAATGACCAAAAAACCGAAACTTGATATAACAAAAATCCCAAAGTCATTTTGCACATGCAAACGATACAAGGACAAAGCAATATGTTAAACCACTTGCTCATGTGCCACTGCAGGTACAGAATGTTTTACTGCATGTTCATGCGGCTCAAAGGAAAGTGGATTAACCCAAACATATATGATGACATTTTCACTGCATCAGGTACCTACAACCTAGAATATGACACCAGTCCCCA